CGAGGCAAACTGCTTGACAACCTCACCACGGAGTAGTTGTCATATAACGACAGGGTCATGGGATGAGTTGCTGTGTAAATATTTTAGGCCTCAGGTCCATTTAGTTCTCAATTCTGTTTATGTTTTTTTTTATTATTCCCCTTTATATATTTTCAAAAAAATTGTTTATTTATGTAAACAATATTTTAAATGGAAGTCGCCGTTGTGTCACGGCTAGCCTGCGGATCTCAAGGTCGTGGGTTCAGGTCCTGACAGAGCCGTACTTTTTTTTCAAAAATGACCTTGGCTCCCAGCTCGACCCAGCTTTGAGTGGGTATCAGGTGCAGTCCTGGGAAGTGAAGGCGGCCGGCTGACCACATCAACTACCACATGCTGATTGGTCTATAAAATATATGTCTAGCCCTGTATGCCTGATACACCTGAAGGCGTGGAAAAGGGTCCTTTACGTTTCTCAATTATTTTAAGAAACGTATTGATCACCTGTGTAAAATGTTTTCAAAAATTATTTTTTTAAAAGTTTTTTGTTTAGTTTGTGTGTGTGTGTGTGTGTGTATGTACAGCTTTTTTCCTCTTTATTTCTAAGGTTAAGGAAGTAAGTTATTTTATCTTATGTATTTTCATCCATATTTCCTTTCATATTCTTCTCTGACACTCACCCTTTAAATTTGTATCCTTGACTACAGCTAGTTATGAGTGTTTCTGTGATTCACTTTCTATGTGCATAGTGTCAAGCGTTACTTCAGAGATCCCGGATAGCTAGCATCCTTTGGATATTTTCTCCAGGTCATACTGGTGTATTAGAAAATGAGCAGACAGACCCACCAGTTCTGCATCACTTGGTGGTGAATTAGTGTATGACATGCCAGATGTTGTAAGGGCCCTTTGTGACGAGTGAAAAGTTTGAAGGAACAAATAGATCATTACGGTCTGAAGGGAATGGCACTGCGAGGAGTTACCAGGGAATCTGACCGACGCTCAACTCTCAGGGAAAAGGCGAGACGTATGCACAATCAGACAGTTAGTGGTGCCCCCATTGGAATTGGAACTCCTCGCCTGTTGCTGAAGATGGGGACAGAGTGCTTATGGGAGTGTCCCAAGTGCTGTGATGTCGTTTCTTAAGTCAACATACTTTCTACTTGATGTTTGTGTCTGTCGGTTGGTCTGTCTGCATGTCTACCTGATGGTATGTCTATTTGTCTTCCTGTATGTCAGCCTGCCTGTGTGTCGCACTGATTCTCAGATTTATTAGTAGAATCTGAAAGATCAAATCCTCCTACACAGGCAAGTTTCTCAGAATTTGAAACCATATGAGATACAGAGGTTCTGTGGGTTCTGAGGCTCAGTCATGGGGAAAGCAAGAATAGACCTAATATCTACCCAACAAGCATGTTGTAAGAGTCGACTAATTAGGAGCTTCCTTCGAAGTCAGAGGGCATCTGCCTTAGAGGCAAGGAACCAAAAGTCTGCATACAGATGAGTCTAATCTGTTAAACGGATGTGCATGCAACACTCAGGTTCTGGAACAAGACCAGAGTCTAGAAGTAGACAAACAACCAGGCCTTTCCACTCGAGTTCACAGCCAGTGAACATGATGAATTAAGAAGAAAGAATATGACAGTCCAGTAGCTGCCACATTGAATGAATGTCATTCAGCGCTTAGGGGGTTGAGAAGTTTCATCGGTCTTCTTCTTATTTTTCTTCTTGTGTCATCTCACTGATATCAGGTTATAGCCCAGTGTTGTGGTTTTCTGTATTTGTCTTCTTCTTCTCGGGTGGCTTGGATGGTGGATTTGTTCATCTATTTGCAGGTTTCATCATTTGAATCATTTATCCATATCTTTCTTGATCTTCCTTCAAGACTTCCTCCCAGATGGAGATTTTAAACAGTATATTCATTCCAACATTAAGCTACCAGTGCCAAACATGGACACTATCTAAAGCCCATGTAAACAAAATCACCACTTGCGAGAGGAGATGCCTGAGAAAAGCCGCCAACCTAACCATCCGAGATCAAGTGAATAAGGATACTATCAGACAAATTATGGGAACGACACCTTGGTCTAGAAACAGCAGATCAAGTGGTTTGGCCATCTCGTAAAAATGCAGCAAGATCAAATACCATCCCAGGCACTACATCTGAGAAGATCAGCTACAAGAGCAAGAGGACGGCTGCAAAAAATACGGTTCGACAACATTAGAGAAACTCTGCGCCTTCACAGCTGACAATAGCCAGTAGCAACCAGCGTGCACTGGATTGCAAATTATTCCTCCCCATGATGCTTGATGGCAGAAATCGTTTATGATGATGATGATGATTAGTTTGTTTTGATTGTTATCAGTATATTAAAAAAAAAAAATATGTACAGTTTATTTTATTTTCCTTTGTCTAGTAACTCGCTGGAGTTGCCAGCAAGACATAAAGTAAAACTGAGGAAGAAAGAAAGATATCTACCTAAACAGGTGGCCCATGTGTTTAGTTCATTGCTGAAGCCACAAGAGGACCCAGAGAAGGTGGCCAAACAACATGAGCTCTTGGAGCTGGCCCAAGCCCATTGTGTGCAGGTCACTCACGCGGATTGTGAGGAAGTTATTGGGGAGGTATGTTTAGTTCATGTAGTTCTTCAGAGTTAGATTATACGACACTTACCACAGTTTTGTATACTTATGAGTGATATTTTTGTGTGTTTCAGTCCTGCCCTACTTTCTCTTTATCGCTTTCTCTCTATCGCTTTCTCTCGCCTTGTTTCTTTTTTTTTCTTCCCTACCTGCCCCTTTCTCTCTCTCTCTCTTTCTCTCTCTCTCTCTCTCTCTTTCTCTCTCTCTCTCTCTCTCTCTCTCTCTCTCTCTCTCTTTATCTCTGTTTACTGTCTCCCCTTCCAACTCTTTCCTCCTTCTCATTCAGTACTCATTATCTCCCCCCCCCCCCCCATCTCTCTGTTATTTAATGTATTCCCCTTTCAACTCTTTCCTCCCTTCTCACTCAGTACTTCTCTTCTTATCTCTCCCTCTTCTCTCTCTCTCTCTCTCTCTCTCTCTCTCTCTCTCTCTCTCTCTCTCACTCTCTTTCTCTCTATTTACTGTATCCCCTATCAACTTTTTCCTCCCTTCTCATTCAGTACTTTTTAATCTCCCTCTCTCTCCCTCTTTCTCTCCCTCCCTCCCTCCCTCTCTCTCTCTCTCTCTCTCTCTCTCTCTCTCTGTTATTTACTGTATCCCCTTCTAACTCTTTCCTCTCTTCTCATTCAGTACTTCTCTTCTTATCTCTCCCCCTTCTCTCTCTGTTATTTACTGTACCCCCTTCCAACTCTTTTCTCCCTTCTCATTCAGTACTTCTCTCTTCTCTCTCTCTCTCTCTCTCTGTTATTTACTGTATCCCCTTCCACCTCTTTCCTCCCTTCTCATTCGGTACTTCTTATGTCTCTCCCTCTCTCTCTCCCTCTGTTATTTACTGTATCCCATTCCAACTCCTTCCTCCCTTCTCATTCAATACTTTTCTTATCTCTCTCCCCTTCTCTCTCTACTCTCCTTGGCTGACCCTCATACACTTTGGTCAGTGTGCATCAGTCTGGTTTCTCTGCTCATGGACCAAATAAAATAAAGCAATCTTTTGACCACTGTGCTTTTATATCTGCACCCTTTAGATTAGCGGTTCTCAAACTGTGAGTCGTGACCATTTTGTGGGTGGAACAGCCCTTTCACAGGGGTTGCCAAAGACCATAGGGAAACACATATTCACTAAAGTTATTTGACAAAAATATTTTACGGTTGGGGGGTCGCCACAACACGAGGAACTGTATTTAAGGACGCAGCATTAGAAAGGTTGAAAGCCACTGCCTTAGATAAACACATCTGATTTCAGCAAATCCTTAATTAACGTTAAGTTAAAAGTCGAGATGATCAACTTCAGTGCAGATCAAGGTGGATACAAGACATTGCAGATGCATTGGCTGTGAAAACACACAGGCCTGGAGAATTGGCTAGAGAAGGAGAGCAGTGTTCTACACTAGGACATGCTGATTGTTTGAAAAGTGTGCATTTCATATGAAGATACAAAAATAATTCTCACGTGTGTTTCTTTTATGTACATAGAGTTTTCATTTAATACTTAAGTCTTCTTCTTCTTCACGTTCACCGGCTCAAAACTCTGGGGGTAAGTTCTGGACCTTAGTCTTGTTCCAGAACCTGAGTGTTGCATGCACATCCATTTTACAGATCTGACTTATTTGTATGCAGATTGTTGGTTCCTTGCTTCTCAGGCAGATGCACTCTGACTTGGAAGGAAGCCCCCAGCTAGTTGACTCTTACGACATGCTTGTTGGGGATTCAGGGGGTCTGTTCTTGTTTTCTCCCATAATAGGACCCCTGAACCCACACAGGGATAATACTTAAATATTTACCATGTGTCCCATACCTAGGAACATTAAACTGCATCAATGGTTAGATCTGCAGTGTTTAGATGCCTGACTAGGTCACCCTGGTCATTTGGTACAAGCCACCATTCACATAGTAAATTTTTTTTCCTGCATATAGAAACTAATGGAGATTGAAAAGCAGTAACAAAATTTATAATCTGTTTAAATCATCACTGATCACTGGCATCATGAGAGCTAATAGACTGAAATGGTTGGGGCATATTGAAAGAATGTCAGATGACAGAGAAGTTAAAAACTTAATTCACAAGGGAGATGAATGGTCGTAGACCACGAGGCAGACCAGGAAGAACATGGAGATATAATATCCAGACAGACCTGCAAACACTTGTTGTCACCAACTGGAAAGAGAAGGCCAACCAGAGGGATGAATGGAGGCGGGTGATATCTGCAGCAATGAACCTCAAGGGCTCGGAATGCTGAAAAAGAAAAAGATAGAAACTTATGGGACACCCTGTGGTGTCATACATGATTGTATGATATGTTTATTTTTACATTAAAAAATCCTACCAGTTTCGTAAAGTGACTGGCTTGAGTCATGAGGAGAGTCACTGGGCTATCCTGGCTGTTATGAATTTGTTGGCTACAAAAGTACCTCACATCAAACCATCCCTAGAAGTGGTTGGAATGCGGTTCAATATGGCGCATGAGGTATGTATTAATATCTTTCTTCTTCTGCCTTTCTAACCCTCAAGAGAGCATAGGCCCTCAACCAACTTTCGCCAAGTTGTTCTATCCTTTGTTATCGCATGCAGCTCTCATCATGTCCTCCCTGTCTTTTTAACTTCACTCTCTAGCTCCCTTCTCTATGTGTTTTTTTTTTTTTTTTTTTTTTCCTTCATTTCCATGCCCCTGTGCGTTCCAGTGCAAAGTCATTCTAGTTTTATTGTTCTCAGGTTTTCTCAGCACGTGTCCTATCCAACTCCAGCATCTTTTCTTCACCTCTTGGTCCACTGGAACTTGCTTTATATCCTATCCTGGTCTTTATCAAAGCTGCATGCTTTGACCTGTGGCATCTATAAATTATCAGCGTCATCAAGTAAAAGTGTCACAAACTTTAAATATCCAGACTCCATAATAAACAGGAGCGGAGACTGTTGAACAGAACTCAGTAGAAGAATGGCCATAGCAATAAAAAGGTTAAACAGCATTAAAAGTCTGTGGTTAAGCGCCAACAAGAAAATCAAAGATACAGTTTTGAGAGCATGCATCTTCCCTGTAACAACACACAGATGTGAGTCATGGACTATCTCCCATTTCTGGACCCCCCCCCCCCCCTCCTTCCAACCCCCAAAGAATAAATATATGGTCTTTTGAGCTGAAATGATACAGAAAGATTCTCAGAATACCATGGACAAAGATGAAAAAAATTATGACATTCTAAAAGATCTGAACATCAAGGAAGATTGGGTGATAAACAGCATCCGGTCTCAGAAGCTGAAATATTTTAGCCATATCAATCACCACAGCGGATTAGAAAAAAAATTAGCATAAGTCATGGTACCAGAAAGGAGAGGCAGGGACCTAACAACATGAGGAAGGGCACAGGATATAAGTGACTCCTCGGATATGAAATTGCATAAGGCAGGAGAGCTGGCGAGAGACCAGGTTCTGCAAAGGACCTTCTACATGACGATGATACAGTTGAAACAGATAAAACTGTTTAACATATAGGTTCTCCTGGGATAGCTGACACAGGGACAATTGAGAGAATCAATACCTGCTCACATCAAGGTGTTTGAACACACTTTATATTTTTTGTTTAAAAAACCCTTCTATTTCAAACAAGATTACATATTTTTCATTTTCCATGAAGTTACATAAATATGATGTTTTTGGCCATGTCAAGAGAAGGAATGAAACTGGAACATGTTATGACTGGAGAGAATTGTGGAAGGAGAGTTAAAGTAAGACAGTGTGAGAAAAATCTAGACAGGTTTCTGTCATTATATGAAAAGGTGTCAGCACATGAGCTGATGAATGCTGTTCTCTATATTTTGATGTCACAGTACAAGACGGGATAACTTCATTATACATTTAATTATCACAGTACAAGGCGTGATAAACATCTCTTCACTATATATTTAGATGTCCCAATACAGATGTGATAAACATCTCTTCACTATATATTTCATTGTCACAGTACAGGATGTGCTAAATACTCTCTTCACTATATATTTCAGTCTCAGAATACACAGTGTGATAAACATTCTCTTCACTATATATTTCAGTCTCGAAATACAGTGTGATAAACATTCTCTTCACTATATATTTCAGTCTCGAAATACACAGTGTGATAAACGTTCTCTTCACTATATATTTCAGTCTCGAAATACACAGTGTGATAAACGTTCTCTTCACTATATATTTCAGTCTCGAAATACACAGTGTGATAAACATTCTCTTCACTATATATTTCAGTCTCGAAATACACAGTGTGATAAACATTCTCTTCACTATATATTTCAGTGTCAGAGTACAGGGCTTGACTACCAGTGCGAGGATACACTGACTGTTCATCGACTCATCTCCGAATTGGAGGCAGTTACATTCGACTCACAGCAGCGGGGACATTATTTGAGGGATGATCTGGATAGTATTATAGACATCATTACAGGCTTGTCAGAGACTTTGGTAAGTCACTACAACATGCTTTGTATCACACACAATAAAAAAATCAGGCAGCCGTCAGAAGCACTAGAGCAAACAGTCCGATGCAAGAAATTCAGTTCGTTATCAACCGAAGCAGCAGTTAAAGCAGATCAGCAGTTCCTATGTCCACCATCATTCTAATTGACCCCTGACTCATCTTCCAGTAGCCATACCCTTCATTACTGTTCTGTCCAAACCACAGTTAGTAACTGTATATAGTTTGTCATAAGTTGTTCATTTATTCTATTGCTTGTGGTCGGACACACAGTGCACTACTCTTCTGATCCTGCAGCTTCTGTACCTTATCGAAGTGTCGGGAGGAGATGTAACATTTGTTGATGAGCTCTGTCAAGAGCATTATTAAGACTGATGTTCATTTCTGTAAGGCTGTTCCTAATGCCATCACTCCATATTTTCTGAGGTCTTCCACTCGCTCTGTACCCATTGTAATGTTTTAGTGTGGCTTGCTGTGGCAGATAGTACCAGGGCATTTCTGCGGCATGTTTTGTTCCAAAGTCAGGTATTACCTTTCCTTTAGAGTGAATAAGGCAGGCTGAGTGAGGGATTGTGATGCATGGGTAACATAATACTGCCCAGGCTTTGTGCTATGGAGAGGAGAAACTTCATTCCTGGTCTTAACTGGTCTTGGAAACAAATCGATGGGCAGCAGCTACGGGTTATAAATCCTTGTCAGTTGTCAACATCATCATCAGTTCTCTTTATCCCTAGAGGCACATGAGGCTTCAGAGAGGACTTTCCATGCTTTCTTGTCCTTTCCTCCAGTACAGTTTTCATGTCAGAAATGCCTCACTCGGGTCACTTTCCGTCGTTTGTCTCTATGTTGTTGTTGGGCGCCCCTTTTTTCTTTCCCCCCCTGGTATTCATGTGAGAGCTGTTAAGATGAGGGTAACTGTGGGTTGCCTCTGATGGTGGGAGATATTTTCTAACTGATCAGCTGCCACCCCCCCCCCCCCACCACACCCCCCCCCCCCCTCAAATTGGGCAGCTTCCAGCCAGTGAGGCATTGAAGTGCTCACGGTGCTAGACCTATATTTGTATAGATGAATCAGAAGTTGATAGATGGTGTGTTCAGTTATCATGCAGCTTCCCTTTACTTTCCAAGACATGACCTGGTACCCTTTTTAGGCTGTGTTGACCTAAGGACAAAGGTCGCTTTTGAAAGTCCATCTCGGTGCAGATTTGAACCATAGGTCTCTTCGCTAGTAGGTGAGCATTTGTATAATGAGTAGTGGATCATTTTTTTTCTTCAGAATTCACATCCTAATTGTAACTGACTCAGAAAGCATGCTGAGGAAGGTGAGGACAGGCATGCTTCATTTAGAGTGTCAGAGGTCACGGGTGAGGAGCATTGTCTGAATTGTTTTCCCTGGGTGTGCTGGGAAATGAACAGGCAGACAGACTGGCTGGCACTGCACAAGTTGGTGGAATATTGATGCATGATAAGGCAGACATTGTTAAGGCCTTGTGGGAGAACATACAAATGGATCACCACAGTCTGGTGAGAGTTATGCAGCTGGGAGTGACAAGGGGATCTGGCCGATTCTCAAAGCTCAGAGTGGCTGGATGCTTGCCTACAGACCCTAAAGTCATGGCTTCAAATCCATAAAATGAACTTGGCTGCCAGGTGGACCCAGCCTAAAATGGGCACTAGATGAAGTCATGGGAAGTAAAGGTGGCTGATAAGATGTTGACCTAATCGCTCACCAAATGCTGATTGGTCTACAAAATATACTTCTGGCACTATATGCCCCAGGGAGCTTAAGGGCATGGTAACTTTATTATTCTAATGTTTCATAGCTTTATTCATTTCCTATTATGCTCTCAGGTCTGTCATTACTTTAACTCATTGTGTTTTCTCATCTTGTTTGTCACTCCTCCTCACTAGTCCTTGTCCTCCTTTTTCTTTTTCTTCTTCTCCTCCTTTCCTCCTCTTCTTCTTCTCCTTTCCTCCTCTTGTTCTTCTCTCCTCCTCCTCCTCTTCTTCTTCTTCTTCTTCTTCTTCTTCTTCTTCTTCTTCTTCTTCTTCTTCTTCTTCTTCTTATCCTCCTCCTCCTTTCCTCTTCTTCTTCTCCTCCTCCTCCTCCTCTTCTTCTTCTGTATCTATTTCTTCTTCTCCTTCTTCTTCTTCTTTTTTTCTTCTTCTTCTTCTGATTGTAAAGCAGTAATTTCATGGTCAGTTTTTTAATATCATGTTGTGTTTTTTATCATTGTTCTTTGTTTGTTCATTGCAACTAATTCTATAAAAGTGAAACAATCTTTTTTTAGGTCATATCTGCAGTGGAACTGTTTTTACACTTTTTCACATTTGGCCTCAGAATGGTGGTTAGAGAATAAGATACACACACATGTTGTAATTGTAATGGACTCTGAAAGCATGCTGAAAAAGGTGAAGTCATGATTGCTTTGAGCAGAGTGGCAAGCTTCACTTGCAAGGTAACGGGTAGTGAGCATACTTTGTATCTTTTCTCCAAGCCGGTGTGATGGGGAATGAACAGGTAGACGATTGGCTGGATCTGCACCGCAGGTGGTAAATTGATACATGACAAGGCTGATGTAGTCAGAACCCTTTGCGAACAAGTAACGAAGTCAGAAAAGAAACTAAATTTTATTGGGCTGTAGCAAATGATGCACCTGGGTTAGAACCAAAGTGTTTGGCCGGTACACTATGCTCAGAGGAAAGGCAAGACGGACTTACAACCAGACTACGACCGACACCATTAGTATTGGAACTCTGTGCTGGCTGCTGAGGATAGGGATGGAGCGCATATGGGAATGTCCCAAGTGCTATGATGTTAATTCTTGACTCACCTCAACTCTGCCTCAGATCAGTTCTTCAGTGTTGGGCAGCTATTCATTCACTGCCAGCATTGTTCGAATCATCACACATTGTGGAATGTTCTACTTGAGATTCTACACAAGAGGTCTTCAGTAAATAAATTATTATTTTGTTACCAAAATGTTCTTATATGTTTCTGAAATATATATTTTCAGAATAATGCGAAGCTGTGTGTGAGTATGGCTGCCATCCAGAGGGACAATTTTAACATGGTGGAGATCATCGCCAAGTACTATCAGATGGTCAGTGGCTTGTGTTTGTGTGTTTCATTAACATCCTTGCCCAGGGAACGCTAAAAAAAAAATCATGACCTTGTTAGATTTTCAGATAAAATTCTTTTAAAAAGAAAGATAAAATACAATTTTGCAAAAGTGACTGATAGATATGTTTAAAATTTATTTATGTTTGAAATTTTTTCCCCTGTTGAATGTTAAATAAAGAATTGACATCATAGCACTCGGGACACTCCTATAAGCGCTCAGTACCCATCTTCAGCAGCAAGCGAAGAGTTCCAATTCCGATGGTACCTCACCTTTCCCTTGAGTGTTGAGTGTCAGCCAGATCCCCTGGTAACTCCCCACAGCACCATTCACCCCAGACAGCAATAATCTGTTAACTCACTCCCAGAGGGCCCTCAGAACATCTAGCTTATATTACATCAGTTCACCACCAAGTGGTACAGGATCAGTTAGTTTATCTACCTGCTCCTTTCCCTACACACCGGCTTAACCTGGATAAAATATCTGAAGGATACTAACTACCCGGGACCTCTGAAGTGATGCTTGCCACTCTGCACGAAGCATGCCTATATCCACCTTTTTCACCATGATGTCGGAGTCGGTTACAATCACGGCAAATATGTTCAGCTGATTTTCAAGCCAGCAGAAGGCAACAGTGAATGACTCTACCTCCATTCTCAAGCTAGACGTGATATCATATGTGAGGCTTTGTTGTACTAAGCGACATCCATTCGCTTTTGCTATACCCCTCAACACTAAGCTATTTGTATAGATAATCAAATCTCCTGCGCGGGGATTGTCATGAATCTTTTGTTGAACATCTGATTCTGCAGCACCAGCTGGCAGTCCCTGCACTCACAACCTAAATGTGCAAAGATTTATGAAGGGAGTAATCAGTGAACATGAACAGGTTGAATTATTTAACGGAATGCATGCCCCAGGACTAAACGAAACATATGTGTCACTTGACTCCTGCCGTGACCCTGTGACCTCTATCACTGAAGCTGACTGGGAAATTTGACATCAACCTTTCTTTAAAAAAACTATTTAGCTCTAAGTAATACCTCCCCTCTCCAGTGCTATTTTAGGTAATATATTCACATCCCGACCTCCTGAATGTTTGCACAAGTGTAAAAACAGTCAATAGCATTAACTATGCATCTCATAAACAGGTCACTATAGACAATTCAGAGAAGTGATTTTTATGGGGGAATTGAACCCAGATCTAAGTTTTGGTGTTGCTGCTTGTCGGAGTGAACCGGTTAAGAAAATATCTTTATTTGCACTATCAAGACACCCATTTTTTTTAATGAGGTTTCTATTTTTGTACATGATTATAGTGTCTGTTCTCATACGTCTTTAAAAAGTTACTAAATAAGATTTATATTTACCATTTATTTTCTAGAGGTAAAATTCAATTTTTTCCTGTTTTCTATTTTCCTCTGGGTTCCAGTGCAAAGATATGCTAGTTCTGTTGTTCTCAGGTTTTCTCAGCCTGTGTCCTATCCAATGCCAGCATCTTTTCTTTACATGTTGGTCCACTGGAACTTGTTTAGCTTTTCCCAAAGCTCTACATTAGTGATTCTATCATATGATTCAGTTGCCTCTGTTCTGCGCAGGCACCAGTTAATGAATGTTTGTAGTTTATAAGTAATTGCCTTAGTTGTTCTCCATGTTTCCGCTTCATAAAACAGTACTGATTTGACATTACAATTAACAATTTTAACTTTTGTATTTCTTTTAATTTCTTTTGACCTCTACAAATTCCCTAAAGCTACATGTGGAGAAGGGTGAGAGTGAAGAAAAAAAAAGATGGGGAGGACATGGGAAGAGCTGCATGTGATAGTGAAGGATAGAATGCCTTGGCATGAGTTGGTTGAGGGTCTATGCTCTAATGGGGGTTAGAAAGGCAGAAGAAGAAGAAGAGGTAAATTTCAACATTTAATTTATTGTTACTGATTTTTCTTTTTTTTTTTTCTTTTTCCTTTTTTAGGAAACCAGATGGGTAATTCATTCCTGTCTATTGCATTTAATAGAGATCATTTGTAGGCTAAATCCTACGGCAATCCAAGAGTTTTTATACTCAGAGCTGCCTCAGGAGATGGTAGCAGAGATGCAGCAGCATCAGAATGGTATACCTGTTTTATCTTTCTTTGATCCACCTGTCCATTATATGTGCTTTTGACATCATCATCACCTAGCAGTTTCTTTACAGACATTACTCCCGTCACAGCTTCGTCATCATCACATGCCCTGCCAGCTGGCATAGGTGCTCATGCGTCTGCACAGATAACAATCCCTGGTTGCCTGGAACAGCCCTCTTGATGATATCCGTCCATCTATTGTTTCAGCCCATCCAGCATCATCTCTCTTGGTCTGCCTCTACCCCTTCTTCCACTGATCTTTCCAGTTGTCACGATGTTCTCCAATGTCTCTCTTCTCATTCTTCTTCTTTTTCTTTTTCTTCTTCTTCCTCATCCTCCTCCTATCGCTGTGGCGGAGGGCCTAGACGCTCGTCACGGAGGCAAAGGTCGTGACTTTTTTTCAAAAATGACCTAGGCTCCCAGGTCAACCAAGCTTTGAGTAAATACCAGGTGTAGTCCCGGGAAGTAAAGGTGGCCGGCGTGATGCAGACCACATCACTCATCTTGTGCCGATTGGTCTATAAAATATAGGTCTAGCCCTATATGCCCTATACGCCTAAAGGCATGGAAAAGGGACCTTTACTTTTTTATTTTTTATTTTGAGCTTAGTAGACTCTTTTTTTTCAGATCATATTCTAGACTGCATTTCTTCTCTTAGGATCAGTTGAAGTTTTTACCCAGGTACCATATATTTGCGTTCATTTGATTTTCATACTATCTGTTTCTTTGTGGCCTGAGTTTTTATCCTTTTCCTATCTTGCAATGTAAAAAAAAAAAAATATATATATATATATATAGTTGGACACTTATAACCACAAAATTTTCTGTGTGCATATATTTAACTAACTCTACTTTAGGTGATTGGTTTAATATATTCACAGAGCAACTTTTATGTGTGTTTTTGTGTTTGCTTCAGTGAGACCATGCCTTATACTTTGGTAGGGTATGTTAGGTGAGCTGAGCAAGATAATTAAACTTTGTTTTTTATTTAAGACCCTTTCGCCCAGAGAAGCTGCAAATCCAGCACTTCCATTTGGGTCCACTTCCCTGTGACTTATCTATAGGGGTCTGGTTATGGGATGCATAGTTAATGCCATTGGTTGAGTTGGGGCCTGTGTAAATGTTTAGGAGGTCGAGATATGAAGACGTTAACGGTAAATAATAAAGCAGTTTGGAGGGGGGGGGGGGGGGGGGGGGGGGGGGGGGGGGGGGGGGGGGGGGGAGGGGGGTGGGGGGGCGGGGGAGGGGGGGGGGGGGGGGGGGGGGGAGTCTTTTCAGAAAGATAGCTTGTTAAATACCAAGTTGACATCACATCTTCCTTACACCTCAGTGATGGAGGTCACCAGGTCACAGCATGAGTCTTCCATTGCATCTGCTTTTTTTGTGTTTGTGTGAGGGGACCTGAAGTATGTACTCCATTTGATGCTTTACTGTGTTCATGTCTGTCGATTCTTAATTTATTAGTGACTTGTGTTTAAAAAAAAAAAAATTCGATTAGAATTTTATCTGGAATTCCAAAGGGGTCCTGACCCAATTATTTGCATCTTTTTTTTTTCATGTCAAAACCTGAAATTTGATTTGTTTGCTGCAGATGATGCCAGGTTTTTGCAAGTAGCCAAGACACTGGGGATCATATTTATGAAAGGACTACCATCCCCACACAAGCTAGCCTGTAAGTTTTATTGGTATAAAACCGTCTTCTTCTTTTATTCTTAAAAGGCGGTTGGTTTATTCTGTTGTGGTTAAGAGCTAGTCTGTGATGTCTGCCCTTTTCAGCTCAACACGTCCATTTTCAGCAAACCCCTGATAAGCAGCCTTTAATGAAATGCTTGTGATGCGGGCAGTGGGTCAGTTCTTTTCCTTCCAGAATGGGACCCGGGGAGCCAAACAAAGAGTATAACTAATTTATCAGTGTCTAGTGAAGTAAGTTGTCTTCTGAATAATTTCTGTTTTCATTGAATAGATTTTTATTTTGTTATTCACAGAATATGTTGAAAAAGGTGGAAACAGGCATGCTTTGTGCAGAGTGGCAAGCATCACTTCAGAGGTTCTTGGTAGTTAACCATTGTTAGATATTTGTCCCAGGTCATGCCAGTGTGTTGGGAAACGAGCAGGCAGATAGACTGGCCGGTTCTGCACCACTTGGTGGTGAATTGATACCTGATATGCTAGATGTTGTGAGGGCCCTTTGGGAGCGAGCAAACAGTGTAAAGGCACAGATAGATCATTACAATGTGAGGAGAAGGGCACTGCGGTAGGTTACCAGGGAATTTGGCCAGCACTCAATGGAAAGGTGAGACGGGTGTACAGTTAGACACTTACTGGTACCATCGGAATTGGAAATCTTCGCTGAAGATAGGGACATAGTGCTTATGGAAGTGTCCCGAGTGCTGTTATGTTGATTCTTAATATCAACATTCAATGACATTGAATGGTTTTTGTCATTGTTCAGATTAACTTGTCTAGTACATTTAAAGTTTCATAGAGAGTTGTAATCTTGTCTCAGAAACTGAAATATTTTGGCCATCATATCAAGCAATTCAGCAAATTGGAAACAAAATAATAACAAAGGCATGGTACCAGGAAGGAGGAGCAGAGGCTGACCAGCACGAAGATGGGCACAGGATATAAGTGGACAGCTTGGGTAGGCAAGTGCATGAGGTGGAAGTTCTGGCGAGAGACCGAGTTTTTTTTATGTGGACTATGATGAGAGCGACATTCTGCATATTACCTGGTACATGATGATGTTGAGAGAGCAGTAAGGTTGAGGTTGTGTTTTTTACTGATAGATTGTGGTTGTTTTTACTAAAAGGCTATGGTAACTTTGACTAATTGGTCGTGGTTTTTACTAATAGATTTTGGTGGTATTTACTATAGGTTGTGGTTTTTACTAATAAGTTGTGGTGGTTTTTACTAATAGGTTGTGGTCATTTTTACTAATAGGTCGTGGTGGTTTTTACTAATGTATCGTTTTTAATAAAGGTTGTTGTGGTTTTTACTGATAGATTATGGTGGTGTTTACTAATAGATTGGGATTTTTACTAATAGATTATGGTGGTGTTTACTAATAGGTTGTGGTGGTTTTTACTGATAGGTTGTGGTGGTTTTTACTAATAGGTCATGGTGGTTTTTACTAATATGTTGTGTTGTTTTTACTAATAGGTTGTTATGGTTTTTACTAATAGATTATTGTGGTATTTACTAATAGGTTGTGGTTTTTACTTATAGGTCGTAGTGTTTTTTTTTCACTAATAATTTGTGTAAATAATATTTTTCTGTTGCAGTGACAATGGACATTCCGTTTTTCATCTGGCTGCTGGGAATGACAGAAAGCATGGCGGAGATGAACAGACCCAGTGATGTGGACATGCTGCTAGCTCTGGTGTGTGCCTACCACCTGCAGCACGAGGAGGACTCTCAGAACCCTGTCACTGAAGCCCTGAAGATGGCCCACGGGCATGCGTTGCTGGAGTCAGCCCTCATTTACCTATCCAAGCATGGTGATTACCTACATACATCATGGCATCTTAATGTTGTTTGCGTTTCCCCGTTGTAAACCCCAACGGAAAGACCTAGTTGTTCGCCCATTCCTGGACTTTTGCTTTTTTCTAGGACCTGAGTTTTACATGTGCATCCGTTTTACAGATCTTGCTTATTTGTTTGCAGACTGTTGGTTTCTTGCATCTCTGGCAGATGCACTCAGACTTTGAAGGCTGCCCCCAATTAGTTGACTCTTATGACATGGTTGTTGGGGAAGTAGTGGGTCTGTTTTTGTTTTCCTCACAGTGGGACCCTGGAACCCACACAGGGAGGTATCTTAATTTTATCTTTGCCTTTAAAAAAATCTTATTCTTCATCAAACCCCTTTGATGTAACAAAGATCTGTTAAAGGATGAAACATTGTGGAGGCACAAATAGATCTTCAAGGTCTGAGGAGAACTGTGTTGCAAGGAGTGACCATGGGATCTGGTTTATGTTCAGAACTCAAGGGAAAGTCGAGACGGATATACATTTAAACTGTCGGTGATAACATTGGAGCATGCTGCTGAAGATGGAAAGGGAGCATTTCTGGGAATGTCCTGAGTGTTGTGATGTTGATTCTTGATTTATTCTTGGAACATAAGCACTTATTCCATGTGCTGTGACATCACAACAGAAAAGAATTGCGTACTTTCCCCTCATTTTGGTGAAGTGGATTGGATATCTAGCCTTTTTCGGTCAAGGTTAATGTTGAATGTTTAATTAGGAATCGACATCACAGAACTCGGGGAATCTCCCATTAGTGCTCAGTCCCTATTTTCAGCAGCAAGCGAAAAGTTCCAAAGATACCAGTAACCGTCTGATTGTATATCTGTCTTATCCTTTCCCTGGGTGCGTCGGCCAGATTCCCTGGTAACTCCTCACAATGCCATTCTCCTTAGACCATAATGATCTCACAACACACTGGATGACCTGTAAAAAATATTGAAAGGATGCTAAGTACCCGGTACCTCTGAAGTGATGCTTGCCACTCTGCACGAAGCATGCTGTTTTTACCTTTCTTGACATGCTCTGTGTGTCAGTTACAATCACGGCATGTGGGTACAGCTGATTCTCAAGCCAGCGAAAAGCAGCAGAGACTGCCTCCACCTCCATTCTCAAACTAAACATTGTGATTTCAAATGCATGGCTTTGCAGCACTAGGTGTTGTCCATTCTTCTTTGCTATGAACCCCTATGATCTTTGTCTGCCTCTCAACCCAGCACCATATGTATAGAAAATCACTTCATTTGGGCAGGAATTGTCATGAATCATTTGTTGAACTTCAGCTGCCTGTCTCAAAGACAATAGCAGAAAACGCAAGAACATTTGCATGCTCTGTTCAACATATTAAAAATCCTTTAGCAGTTATTGAAAGTTAAACATGTATGGCTTCTAAGCCTTTTAAACTTTGGAAGCCTAACTCACAACAACAAGTATTTACACTATGAGTAAGTTATTCTAGAATATACATATTTGGATCCTCACCAGTGCTGCAGAGTTTGTGCATTGTGTTGAGGTTCTCCTAATTTGCTTTATATGATGAGACTGAAGTAAGTGTAGAGATATCTCCTTGCAATCAACGAGATCCTTAACCCAAATCCAAATGTTAAAAAAGTAGTCTGTTGTTGTTGTTGCCTGTTCAGGTACTTACAGTGTTAGAGAGAGAGTGAGAAAGAGAGATTGAAGTCTGTTGTTGTTGTTGCCTGTTCGGGTACTTACAGTGTTAGAGAGAGAGTGAGAAAGAGAGAGTGAAGTCTGTTGTTGTTGTTGCCTGTTCAGGTACTTACAGTGTTAGAGAGAGAGAGAGTGAGAAAGAGAGAGTGAAGTCTGTTGTTGTTGTTGCCTGTCCGGGTACTTACAGTGTTAGAGAGAGAGAGAGTGAGAAAGAGAGATTGAAGTCTGTTGTTGTTGTTGCCTGTTCAGGTACTTACAGTGTTAGAGAGAGAGAGTGAGAAAGAGAGAGTGAAGTCTGTTGTTGTTGTTGCCTGTTCAGGTACTTACAGTGTTAGAGAGAGAGAGTGAGAAAGAGAGAGTGAAGTCTGTTGTTGTTGTTGCCTGTTCAGGTACTTACAGTGTTAGAGAGAGAGTGAGAAAGAGAGAGTGAAGTCTGTTGTTGTTGTTGCCTGTTCAGGTACTTACAGTGTTAGAGAGAGAGAGAGTGAGAAAGAGAGAGTGAAGTCTGTTGTTGTTGTTGCCTGTTCAGGTACTTACAGTGTTAGAGAGAGAGAGTGAGAAAGAGAGAGTGAAGTCTGTTGTTGTTGTTGCCTGTTCAGGTACTTACAGTTTTAGAGAGAGAGTGAGAAAGAGAGTGAAGTATGTTGTTGTTGTTGCCTGTTCAGGTACTTACAGTGTTAGAGAGAGAGTGAGAAAGAGAGAGTGAAGTATGTTGTTGTTGTTGCCTGTTCAGGTACTTACAGTGTTAGAGAGAGAGTGAGAAAGAGAGAGTGAAGTCTGTTGTTGTTGTTGCCTGTTCAGGTACTTACAGTGTTAGAGAGAGAGTGAGAAAGAGAGAGTGAAGTCTGTTGTTGTTGTTGCCTGTTCAGGTACTTACAGTGTAAGAGAGAGAGTGAGAAAGAGAGAGTGATAGAGAGACCAGGAAAACACTAGCAGTGATAATTAAAGACAGATTGAGCCTGTCCACCGTTAGGAACTAAAAGACAAAAGAATGAAAAAACAAACTTTTTTTTTTTCAAAGGGTCACAAAATGGGCACGCAGGCCTGTTTTACATTTGCAGTAATATAATGCTCCTGATTTTATCAGTGGCTTTTTTCTGTGTGAGCTTATTGATATTTCAATGCCTTAAAAGTGGCACGATTTGGTAAGTTAACTCTTTCAATCTGAAACAGCAAATGATGTGTTACCAACTATTCCCCACATGTCCAAAACATCACTTCATATATCTTCTTGCATTTAAGTTGCAGTCTTCTTAAAATTCATGCCGTGTGACTTTGGTAGTCATGTCTATCCACAACTTTTGTCTCATGTACTTTCAGTCAATTCTAACATGAATGATCCTCCATGCCATGATGTCAAACTGTCCAGCATCTTTTACATGACTAAAGAATGTGGACTGTCTCTTCCTGATGTGGGCAATCAATGCTTTCCAGTTTGCCTGTTTGCATGAATGTTCTCACATTCCACATTCCGATGACTGATTCATTCTTTGGTTGGTGTGCCTTAGCTTGGATGATGGTCTGGCTGCACTTGTGGCACATGCAGGCCCCTACTGGATGAGGCAATTCTTGAACTTCCCTTAATGTCACTTTCATTCATCAATTGTTGTACAGAACAGACGTGACTTGACTTTGCAAAATACTCTCAATAGGTTGCAATTTCTTTCTGGGAAAGCAGTGCCTACACTGGGGAGGAGAAAGGGGGGGGGGGGGGGGTTTGTCTTAGCCATTGTGCCAATAGGGGCATTTTATGCCTAGCAAGTTGTAGTCAGTGAATCATCATCATGTGAACTGGCATAGGCGCTCATGCGTCTCCACAGATCACGATCCCTGGTTGCCTGGAACAGCTCTCATGATGATAACCCTCCATGCCATCGTTTCAGCCCATCCAACATCATCTCTCTTGGTCTGCCTCTACCCCTCTTTCCACTGATCTTTCCAGTTGTCACAATGTTCTCCGACGTCTCTCTTCTCATTATGTGGCCAAAGAACAGTGTTGGTCTCTTTCTTATTAGTCAGTGAATACTAAATAAATGTGGCAGCCACAGGGTATCTTTTGGTCATTTTTCATCCCTGCGACACAGCAAGATTTAATTGAAAAGATACTAAATTTCATACAAAACTATGGCACCGAAAGAGTTATGTTATTGGCTGTGTGTATTCTGTTTTCTATATTTCTGTCGAATCCTCGATTCTCTGTGACATTGTTAGAGACACAGATTTTCACTGAGGCATGCTTCCCCTGTGAGTGACTCAATGATTATGCTCAGGAAGGCAGAGAAGGGCTGGGTCAGAAGGCAGGGGTTGGTGGCTCTACAGCGTTCACAGCTGACAAGGATTAGTTTCATTTTCGTGCCAGGACATGTGGGGGTGCAAGGAAATGAGCAAGCTGATAGACTTGCAGGTAAGGCTACTGTGAAAACCAGACTAGCCATGGACCAGGCTGATGTACTGAATGCTCTGAGAGAGTTAAGACGTTTGCTTGAACCAACTGAGAATTGTGAATCTGCAACCATGGTCAGACTGAAGAAAGAAGAAGAATAAATGAATACAGAACTGGTGTCATTAGCTGCTACATGCTGCAGGATTTACTGAGGAGGGAATCCGAGCACTTATGGACTGAGTGGTTCAAGTGTAATGAGGATAATCTGTCGACTAACTAACTAACACTGCCCAGGTATTTAAACTTTTTACCTTGTTTTAACGTCTCTCCTTCATCCGTATTGACATGTTGAACTGTTCTGTTTAGATGTTAAACTGTTGTTCTGTTTACCATATACAAGTAACCTTTTTCATCAGATGACCCAACAAAGTTGCTGGAGTCGAGCATGGAACCCAAGCTGAACTCTGTGGTCTTGCTTCTCTCACACTTGTTTGACAACCCAGACACAGCTGACCTGCTTTACACAAATGATGTGGAGGCCCTCATTGGAATATTTGAGGAATTCCTCCGAGATCTAACCAGGGATGACCCAGTTAGTAATTTTCAAATAAATATTGTAGTAATAACTAGTTGAGTTAAAATCATATATTACAGCGCTCAGGATATTCCCCTAAGCACTCTGTCCCCATCTTCAGCAGCTAGTGTAAAGTTCCACTTTCACTTGTACCAGTAACAGTCTGACTATAATCAGTCCGCATGTTTTTTTTTTAAACAGAACATTGTTTCAACATGACACACCTCTCTCTTTCACTAGCCATTTCTCCAGCCCTATGTGCTTCCATAGCCAATGCATCTTCAGTGTCTTGTATCCGCATCCGCAGAGGTCTGCCTCGGCCTCTGCCTCTTTTTCAGGAAACCGCCTTCCATTGCCATTCTCTGTTGACCACCATGACGTTCAGCGTAGCTAGAATACCTTAGCTTTTGGGACAGGGTGCTGTTTATGAGCCAATTCTCCTTGATGCTCAGATCATGTAGGGTTGTGTTTCTTCTTCTTCTTGTCCATGGTTTTCTAAGAACAGAAGCAGTCTGACTGCTATATAACAATAACTGTTTGAACTCTTAGCTCTGGAATGTTTGAACTCTTAGTTCTGGAATGTTTGAACTCTTAGTTCTGGAATGTTTTAACTCTTAGGTCTGGAAGGCTTAATAGCATAGATCCAGATGGGGAAATGACTTTTATAAAAAAAAATAAAAAAATTGGCAAGTAGATTACTTTTGAAGAGGAAAGAGACAGACCACACTGTTATTGAACAATTACATAAGGGACCATTCCCCCCCCCCCTTTCACGCATGTAAGGCACATAGGGCTAGACCTATATTTTGTAGACCAGTCGGAACTTGGTGAGTGACGTGGTCAGCATAACGCCAGTTACCCTATAGCTGTAGTTCTCCCCCTCTAAGGTTACAGCCTGAAATGTCTCAGTGACTGAAAGAGCTGCTATTTTGAGGAAAATTTCAGTGTGTGGTTCCAGGTCGCATTTCATGCCTGATATTGAACGGATTACACTAAATAGAACGCAGTGGAGGAATAGACTGCTAGTCCTATGTGACATAGAATGGCACAACAGGATAGTGAACGAAACGAATAAGGCTTTTATGTCAATATAACTCCTCCTTTCCCCCCCCCCCCCCCCCCCCCCCCCCCCCTTTTCCTTTTTTATCCAACAAGTCACTGTAACCTCAAAAGGCTCCTCAACCCAGTTTGGCCATTTGAATGTTCAGCTGTCCGAATATATTAATATTTTCACCTGAATATATTCTTCTTCTCTCCAGTCTTGTTCTGCCTTTCATAGTCTTTTTTTTTAATTTTGTTTAAAGAGGCATCTGATGATAGTCTTGATACATGTCCGACCAATTTGATTTGTTGTCTCTTGTAGTAGTTTAGTACTGGTTCCATTCTAGCTTGTTTCCTGTTATCATTATTTCTGATCTTATCTCTTCTAGTTACATGTAGGATTCATCATAGACATTTCGTTTCTGTTGTTTCAATTGTATTTTTTATTTTGCTATTGATGTCCATGTTAACACAGTGTTGCTAAAAATGCTGTATATATTAGCATTTGTCATAAATTTATATTGAGTTTGTCAGTAAAATATTATTAAATTTATATTAAGATTGTCAGTCATATATTATTATTAAACTTGAATCTAGCATCTTCTTTACGTTCACTGGCTGTAAACTCTGGCAGAAAGTTCTGGTTGTTCATCCACCTCTGGACATTGGTCTTGATCCAGAACCTGAATGTTGCATGCACATCCATTTTACAGATCTATCTTGTTTGTATGCAGCTTGTTGGTTCCTTGCTTCTCAGATGCACTCTGACTTCGAAGGAAACCCCCAATTAGTCGACTCCTACAACATGCTTGTTGGGGAGGCAGTATGTCTATTCTTGTTTTTCCCCACAATGGGACCCCCAACCCACACAGGGAGAAAACATTTTAACATGAATATAAAAACATTTTTTTTGAGAGCATGCATCTTTTCTGTCACAACTCACAGATATGAGTCTTGGACTATTTCACAATCCTTAAGAAAGAAGTTGTCGGCTCTGTGGCTAAGTCGATGCGAACGCTTTGCTTCGTAATGCCGGGATGCCAGGTTCGATCCCAGCTGCGGGCAATGCGCCTTGCGTTGGTTTCGACAGTGGTATTAAGAAAGCCGACCGTCCAGAAAACAATGGCAAACTACTGGATGTAACTTGCCTAGAGAAACCACACAACAGCCAGAGGTTGTTAGAGTTGGTTCTGCAACGTCCTGTAAAGGATACGCAACTAACTAAGAAAGAAGTTAGGGAATTTTGAGCTGAAAGATTCTCAGAATACCATGGACAAAGAAAAGAAGGAATACTGACATTTTAAAAGATCTGAACATCAAGGAAGATTGGCTAATAAACAGCATCCTGTCTAGGAAGCTGAAATATTTTGGTCACATGAATTGCCGTGGTGGACTTGAAACAAATAATAGCAACGAAGATGGGCACAGGTGACTCCTTGAATATGAAAATGAAAGTACATGAAGTGGGAAAGTTAGCAAGAGACTGAGTTTCTTTCAGGCAGTCTCTGATGAGAACGATGTTCTGCAAAGGACCTGCTATTTGATATTGATGATGATATTAGCATTTAATATTATTATTAACCCTGGTCGACCCAGCCTTGAGAGAGTACCAGCTATAGTCCTGGGAAGTAAATGTGGCCGGCATGTTGCTAACCACATCACCCAGCAAGTGCCGATTGTTTTATAAAAAAATAAGTTTAGCCCTATAATCCCAATATGCCTAAAAGGCCTGGAAAAAGAACCTTTACTTTGCTATATAATTATGAACATTTTATTTTTAATGCATAAACATTTTAGCATATCTAAATAGTGCGGAAACAAACAATACATTGCACAATTTATTGCCAGGCATATTTCGCTGTATCTCATCAGCTGCGTTACTACAGAGTTACATCAACATAAAATAAAGTACAAAACTGAATAAATTCAACTGAAATTTGAATAGTTTTTTCCGATACATTGTGTCTGTTTCAAGGCCGCTGGAAGCTTACTATAGTCACGTGACTTACCAGGGTAACTTCAAATTTACGATAAAGCCGTCTGCTTACAAAGGAGGGAGTTGTTGATTTTTATTGTTAAAGCTTCGGTGATTGTGTTTTTTTTTTAAGTTGATGTAACTCTGTAGTAACACACCTGATGACATACAGCGAAACATGCCTGGCAATAAATTGTGCAATGTATTGTTTGTATCCGCATTATTTAAATTCATTACGGGAAAACATTGTTTTGAATATTTTAGCATATCATTGTCTTCAGCCTCTTTAGATTTGCTCTTATTATTAACATTTTATTGTGAGTATTTTAACATTTTAGCATATCATTGTCTTCAGCCTCTTTAGATTTGCTCTTATTATTAACATTTTATTGTGAATACTTTAACATTTTAGCATATCATTGTCTTCAGCCTCTTTAGATTTGCTGTAACATTCACATTCCATTTACAGCTACGAACACAAATGCTGCATCTGTTGGAAAACTTCATGCGGAACTACCCTGACACCGTATCCATGAAGGGATCTCTGAGCAAGCGGCTGGGTCCCCTGTTGCTCAACATCAGGGAGGAGAAGGGCAAGTGTGGAGAGATGGCCGCACAGATTCTTGACGACAACAGTATTATTTTTGATGATGTTTGAGTATCTGTATTTGATTTTCAGATAGGTTTTCAGAGTCAGGTATATTTATTGGACGAGAGTGCTTGACCTCACGGGCTCGGAATGCTGAAGAAGAAGAGTTCTTGCACTGATTGTCTAATTTACTCATTGCCAATTAGTCGTGTTTTTATACTACATATCAAATATATTTGTGAGGCAATTTAAAGTTTTGGGAGTAACATGATTACATGAAGAAATTATTTGATGTTTGTTGTTTTGTTTTAAATATATCTATATTAATTGACACTTAAATATCATAAGGTTTTTTGGTTTTTTTAAAGGAGGGGGGGGGGGGGGGTCTTTCTTTGATTTAATTTATTAGAGGTTAAGGATTATTTATTTTTATTGTTTTCAAAAACATCTCTTCATAAAGGGTAAATTAGGATATAGTTAAAATGTAAAACTGGTAAAAAAGCAGATAGTTAAATGTATAACTGGTAATATAGTTAGCAGATAGTTAAAATGTATAAATAGGGAGCAACAACAACACCCCCTCCCTTCACACCCCCCCCCCTTCCCATCCTACCCAAAAAAATGTACCTATATTTCCACTTGTATGATTGGCTACTTTTTGCTTCTTTATTTTGTTTTTCTTGTTTGACTCAAATTGTCCCTTTAGTGTTGTGTTAATAAGAGTGTCATGTCTCAAAGTGGACACTATATTTTTCCAACTTCACTCCATGCTATGGGGGCTCCCATTGTGTAGCGGCTAGATGCTCGCCTGCGGATCTGAAGGTCATGGGTTCGGATCCAAAAAGAAGCCAGATTTTTTTTTGTTTTTAAATTACCTTTGGGTACCAGAGAAGTAAAGGTGGCTTTCGTAATGCTGGCCACATCACCCACCAAGTGGGTATGTATTTAGGAATTTATTGTAAAGAAAGAATTCATATTAATACCTTTTTGCGAAAAAGTGACTGTTGTAATTTGTTTTAGTGACATGACAGCCACGATTTCAGTGGCCATCATGCTTGCCTGTCTGCTTGGTGGTCACAGGTTTCAATTTCTTGGATTTTTATAAACACTGGCCAAGACTCTACACTTCTTCTACTTCTTATTAAAAAATAGGTTAGTTAGTTGAGTTATCATGATTGCACTCTAGACTTGTCCATCAGTGCTCAGATCCTTCCTTCAGTATGAACTCCAGCATCTGGTGGCAAATGGTACCAGTTCTGTTTTGATAAACAAGTCTGCTGATGTGCCTGGTGTACGTCTCAAATTTTGCTATGCCGATCTTAACTCCCAAGTCTGTCATTCTGGCGAGTGATGTGGATTCAATGCCCCTAAAGTCCTCCACCCTTCCCATTTCTCGGAGGGCATCAGCATGATCCATAGGTTGACTGTCAAAATTGATAGCTGATCTAGCCAACCTATCAACTCTTTCATTTCCATGGACACCCACTTATTCTGGCATGAAAAAGGTAACTTTTATAAAAAGATGTGTGAATGAAATGAAATGTGAAAGGAATGAAGTAGAAGAGCAGAATGTTAGACAGGCCTTCATGCCCTATTCTGAACCCTTTGAAAAAGAACAAATTTGTTTGTTCACTTGCTGTAGTTTCTTAGGTAGGGTTTCAGAGGATTATAACTGTTTCTTTTTAACAAAATTTCGGAAAAGGTTCTTCTTTTTCTTTTTCTTTTTTTTTTTCTCTCTCAACAAATACGGGTTAAAGGGTCTGACCTTTGAAACTGACAAAAACAGTGTCATTTAAGTTTCTTGTGAAGGAAAAGTAGATTTAAACCCCCACCCCTCTCCAACCCCCCCTGTCAACTTTCATTTTTTCCTTTACACAGCAATGTTTGTTGGTTCAGGTGCAATACACTTTTTTTTTATTTATATCCTATAGTTGTTTTTAATTGCGTTTACTAGTCAAGACTGGGGAGTCGACCTGGTGTAACAGCTAGACGCTCACGTGCGGATCGGAAGGTTGTGGGTTTTGGGACCTGATGAAGCTGGAACTTTTTAAATAATTACCTTGGCTCCCAGGTCGACCCAGCCTTGAGTGGGTACCAGGTGCAAGTCCTGGGAAGAAAAGTTGGCCGGCGTGGTACTGACCACATCACTCACCAAGTTCTGATTGGTCTATAAAATATAGGTCTAGCTCTATATGCCCAATAGGCATGAAGGTGTGGAAAAGGGTCTTTTACTTTGTTTACTTCTTTACTTACTTGTCAAGACCTCAACCAGATAAGTGTACCCAGAGAATCTTGTCACTTGATTGACGTCTTTCCGGACAATAGTGTTATATTTCGCTAAGAGGAGGCATGGGATTCACAGCCCATCACCTTTTTATATCCTCTTCATAGCACCAAGCCTGGGCAGTATTGCAGAGACCATATGTTGCCCATGCATCATGATCCCTCTCTCAACCTCTCTTGTTTACTCCAAAGGAAAGGTAATACCAGTATGTTTGGAACAAAGCAGGCTGTAGGATCTGCCGAATCAGAAGAGCAGTGCTCCATCCATCAGTTCGCCTGTCAGAGCTTTCCTCCTAGACCAGCTGCCAGCCAAGGCATGTCGTGAAGTATGTCATGAGGAGAAGCAGAGAGCCAGAGCCTGAGTTTTGTGTGCACATCTGTTTTACTGGCTTATTTGTGTGCAGTTAATTGCACTCTAACTTTGATGAAAATCCCATTTAGTTGACTCCCACAACATGCTTGTTGAGCAGGGAGTGGGTCTACCTTGTTCATAGAAAAATATTGTAATGTTGATGTTGACTGATAATGTTATTGTAAACTTGGTGATTCTAATTTCATGGTTGTGAAAACTTAAAGACTTTCCCTACAGCTGTTCATCGATCTTGTTTTGTTGTTAGAATATACTGTGTTATGTTATCACAGTCAGCGTCACTGTACACTGGGCATTCCCATAGATGCTAAATCCTCCGATGCAGCAGCCACTCCATGGTACCTGTACTGGTTGTTCAACCCTTCAAAATTGTTATTAAATATGGTCAAGACCACAGTAATTTTTTAGGGGGCTGCATGGTCTCTGCATCTAGTGCTAGAGGTTTTGGGTTCAATCCCCGGTAAGGGCTAGAGGTTTTTCACAAGGACTTGGACTTCTAGGAATCCCCCCTAGTCTCTGGGTAGTGAGATCGGACGCCCATGTGCATTGTTGCGCACGTAAAAAAAATCCCTTGGCAGTTAGAAATTGAAAAGAGTAGCCTAACGGCGCTGTCCAGTCAAAATGTGGAGTTAAAAATCTACATAAAGTATTTCAGGAACCTCACTAGTGCTACAGAGCCTGTGCACTGTGCTGAGCTTCTATGGACTGAGACTTGAGTTAGAAAAAAAACCGAGCACTTATGAGTTACACCAATGTGCCATGATGTTGATCCGTTGTTCATAATCTCCACATTTTTTTTTCTTTCTGTAGTTTCTTTGCTCTACCCAACCTGAGGCCCTGAACCTAACTGTCTCCTATACCTGAGCTCCTGGGCATTAAAGGGGAAAAAACCAACATGATATAGAACAATATTAGTTACATGCAAACAAGTGGTTAGAATAAGATGAAACTTGGAGACACTGAAGAAAATAACCTATCGTCAATATTCATCTAGCGCCAATATTCCAACTTTGTGTGCACATCCACCCAACAGGATGAGCCTTGTTTCACATAGAGGTACTTCTGGCAAAGTGAGCACCAGATGTTGCTCTTCACCCTCTTGCATGGATTGTCTTTGTAAGACATTCCAGAATTTTGCTTGTTGTACCTGGAGTCCATTTCCATGCACATAACACAGATGTGATTAGACCATGTCCGTGGGGGAATGTCTGGAAAATTATTGCCAGGGGTCATCCACTGAGGGTAGGGTTCCTTTTGTGGGTGGCGGTGGGCTGATGTCATCATCCAAAAACAAGGATAAAAAGTCAGTTGGTTCATTCTCCTTTGTGATAGATCTAGGAATGTTCACTGGCCTTTTCCATCCTCGTTGATATTCAGATCTGTATTTGGTGATAACAAAATTTCTTGTCCAACCTTCGTCCCCATCTCGATCCATCCCCCCTTTTCAGCTGTTTGAGGGACATTCTTCCCTTCTCTTGCTATCGATCTAGTTCTAGATCTATAAAGTTCACGATTCTCCTCATCACTCAAGCTCTCACTGACTGTGTCACTTGAACTGGGGACACATTCTTGATGAAATTCTGACTCCTCATAGACTAAATCAACTACAGTATCGATCACATGTTAGACTGTGAAAATCCTAGACCTACTTCGCTTTCCTTTTGAAATGCTTGGTTCGTCAGCGCTCATTTTATTGTGAATTTTCATATTTTTTTCACGTTAAACCACACAAAGTCAATTCAAACACATAGGAGCGGACATTTGCAATGGCTAACCCTGAGGTTTGACCACGATCGGTTGGTTATTTTTAGATTGTGACGCATTTTTTTCACATACTACGCAAAGTACTGAAAAAAAGGTATAGCGGCAGATTTGGAAATTACTGAAAAATATGTACAGCGGTCTAGTAGAGTTACGGGTAAATATGTTGTTGTTTATTTTTTTTTAATTAAATTTGTCAAAAGGTCATTTTTTAAGATTTTTACCAAGGAAGGGTTAATCTTGATGTGCTTTAAAAGTTGTTACTTATGTGTTTTTCTCCAGAGGGTTGGATGCTGTTGTGATGCTTGAAGAGTCGTATATAAGAACATGAAATATGTGTGTCATTTTAAGCTTGGTTTTCACTCCATGGTAGATCAATGGGTCAACTGCTTACCTACCATTATGGGTTCTGGGACCCATTTTGGGCGGGGGGGGGGGGGGGGGGGGGGGGAAGAATAGAAATTGTGTTTTTACCGCAGTTTAGTATCAACTCTTTTTCCCCTGAGAAGATGCAAAACTGACACTTCCAGAAGGTTCAAATCCCCTTAAATGTCATTTTTTCGACTTACCAAAAGGGACCTGTTTGTTTTTATAAAAACCAAGTTGATGTCACATTTTCTGTAAGCCTCATTTATATAGGTCACTGGGTCATGAC